GAGCAAGTTGGCTCTATACCCAAAGGGCAATCAAATTGTGTATACCTTTGATTTAGCAATACCACTACTAGGTTTGTATCCCAAAGAGACCATAAAAAAGAGAATAGGACCTACATGTACAAAAAAATATATAGCAGCTCTTTTTGTGGTGACAAAAAAATGGAAATTGAGGGGATGTCTAACAATTGAGGTACAGCTGAACAAGTTGTATTTGAATATAATATGTATTTAAATGTAATGGAATACTATTGTGCTATAAGAAAAGATGAGCAGGTGGATTTCAGAAAAACCTGGAAATATTTACATGAACTGATGCAAAGTGAAATGAGCAGAACCAGGAGAATATCGTACACAGCAACACTGTGCAATGACCAACTACAAATGACTTAACTTTTCTCATCAATGCAATGATCCAAGAAAATTCCAAAAGATTCATAATGGAAAATGTTATCCACATACAGTGAAAGAACTGATGGAGTTTGAATGCAGATTGAAGCATACTATTTTTGGTTTATTTTTTCATATTTTTTTCTTTTTCCCCTTTTGGTCTGTTTCTTCTTTTACAACATGACTAATATGGAAATATGTTTTATAGGACTGAAAATTCTATAATCAAAATAAATATGTTACCATTTTAGGAAAGGTGGGGGGAGGAGGGAGAAAAATCTGCAACTTAAATTTAAAAAAAGAATGTTAATTGGACAAAAACATAAAAACTTTGCATATTAAAGGTAGCTAAGTAATATAATGCATTGAGTGCTAGACTTCTAGGCAGGAGGACCTAAATTCAATCCTGCCTCAGATGCTTATTAGCTTTGTGATCCTGGGCAATTCACTGAAACCTTCATTTCTCTCAGTTTCTTCACCTGCAAAGTACAGGACAAAAATTGCACGTATTCCACAGAATTATTGGGAGGATCAAATAAAATTATAAAGGTACTTTCTAAATCTTTAAGTCTATATAATTGCTAACTATCATTATTCATTATTATTAAAGAATAAAACTGTACCATGAATTATTATTCATTATAAATTATTAATAGTATTATTAACAGTATTATCTTATTTATGAATTAATGTTATAAAGATTATTTACTGATGACATATTATTTTCTTAAAATTATATCCATGATCTTTGTTAGCAACTTCTAAAAGGTCATGAACATTTCATAAACCTAAACATATAATATTAATAATAAATGTTTTTTCTTCTCTCTTTTCTTTGAAACAATAAGACCAGAGATATTGAAGTTGAACTTATACATGTGATTATTTTTAAATTTACTTTTCTATGGAAAGCATACATTAAATATACATTTATATAAGGAAATGCTAATTTGTGTTATAAACAAAATACAGGTGGAAATAACCTATTCCAAACACTCAGGAAGCCTTTCAGTTCCTGAGCAAATATAGTCCGAGCTATAGAACTACACTAGAGGGATCTCCATTGTTCTAAGGATTAGCCTTTCTAGTCCCTTGATGCTTTGTTTACTTATGAATACACTTTTATTCACAAACTGAAATTGTACATAAAAATGATAGCTAGGCCTAATTAAGTAGCAACATAGTAAACTTAAACATTGTTCATGAAGGAAGCTAGCTAGAATATCGCTCTCGAAATCATGTACTATAGTCAAAAAGACAAGTCTACTTTCCTTGGGCTATCATAAATAGAAACTAAAGGTCAATGTATTTTTAATCTTACCTTTCTCTACAGCTTAGATTGTTAGCAACTTTATGATTCAGTATTTGTCATCATAAAGGGGAAAGGCTTATTTTATGTTCACTATCTAACCATTTTGTCAGAGTGTGTATAATCAGATTACCATCAAGCTAAAAGGTACACACAAGTTGTGTAGTCCAGCTACCATAGGGAAGCAACAAGCTTTGGTCACATAGCTTACAAGTCTCAAAGATGGTCATTAAACCTAGATCCAAAGTCAGCAGTTTCTTCACCCTATAATTACGTCTCAGTGGTTTAGACATTTAGGTTTAGACAAGTGGTTTGGACAAGAGAAATGGGAGGTGATGATGCTGGAACATCCAGTAGGAAATGGACAGCAAGTTGCCGTGGGTATGAAGGTTACTAGAAAGGTCAAAGGGTGGAAGTATAGATTTGGCAGTTAGAATCATTGACTTTCAGAGAGGGAAGGAACCTCAAAGGTCTTTCAACCCCAAATTCTCATTTCAGAAGTTGGGCTCAGAAAGGTGAATGAACTTGCGCAGAGAATCGCATGTTGAAATCAGGTCTTCTTCAAAGTTCAACAGAGTGGTGAAATCAAGCAAGCTCTGAACTTGGAGTCACAGCACACAAGTTCAAATCTGGATTCTGGGACTTATTGCTGAGAACCAACTGTTGTTAGGCCAGTCAGTTAACTTCTCTAGGACTCAGTTTCTTCTTCCATATGCAAATCTAGGTTGGTTATTTGCTCAAATCTATTCCATTTAAGTAGTAATCAGATTTCCATTTAACCTCATAGGCCTTAGATTGAGTGTGGAAAAGTCCTTTAAATTAGCAACACTGCATAAATGTCATGTTTAAAGAAGCTAAGGAAAGTTGAAAATTCCCTAGAGATCATCTATAAGTTATCAAGTGAGTTGAAAAAGGATGAATTCAAGAGATTGGAGTAGGTGTGCATTCTGGGACACTGTCAAAGAAAAAGTAGGACTCAGCTGTGGAAGGAGAAGGAGATATCAAGGAAGGTCATCTAGCTCTGCAGGCAGCTAAGATTATAAAACCTGGGCTGCAGAAAGTCCCACTGAAAGCTCAGCATCTTTCTCATCTTCTTCTCCCAATTCCTGCCTATCCAGAAACAATACAATGTATTGTTTTGTTATTTAAATATTACCAATTAATGAAATTTACTTTGACTACCCATGCCAAAGGTTGACTAGAGATGGTTACAGATGGAAAATTAGGCAGAGAGCCTAATCTCTGCCTAAATGTTAGGAAATTTTCTAACTAATAATAATAGTGAACATTGATATACACTTACTATGTGCCAAGCACTATGCTAAGCACTTTACAATTATTATCTTACCTAATCCTCAGAAGGATAAAAGGAGATAGGTGCTATTATTATCCTAATTTACATATGGGAAAACTGAGGCAGATAGTTGTTAAATTATTTGCCCAAAGTCACACAGCTAGTAAGTGTCTGAGACCATATTTGACTCAGGTCTTCCTGACTACAGATTTTGTGTTCTATCCACAGCACCACAATGACTCAGAGAGGGATGGAAACATTATCTTGCTCAAAGTAAGCTAATTATTATAGCAGAGTGTTGCATATAAAATAAGGTGGTTAGGCTAGACAACCCCTCAGGTTCCTAATAACTCAAGATCTAAGACCTTACTGGCCTGTGACTGTTTCATCATAAATTTGCGAGAGCAGACGCCATGAGAGAAAGTGAGATTACCATAGAGAGAAGCCGAGAAATAGAAGAAAGGAGTCTGAGAGGAGAGCTGGGATATGAAGAAGAGCCAACACAGAACAGAGAAGGAGCAGCCAGAGAGTCAGAAAAAGCAGGAAAATATATAATGCTACAAAAGCCAAGAGAAGAGTTCAGAGAAGGGGTTATTAGCTTAGCAAAGGCAAATGCAGTAGAAAATCTGATGGAATTTATTGTGTATTTCTCTTTTATGTCCTAACTACTCTCCAAAGACTTAGAAATAATCTCACTCCCTGTATGACCTTAAGTAAGTTACATCCCCTGTATTTGTCTCAGTTTTCTCATATGTAAAAAGTCAGGGGTTGGACTCAATGACCACTAGGTTCCCTCCAGTTTCTAAAATGTATGATGCTAGGAAGGTAGTTTATGAATTCAACTCCTTAAAAATTGGATAATTAAGAAGGTGAAAAAACTAATAGAAATCAGGAAAGAAGATGTACATCTGGAAGGGACTTGAGAGGATATTTAGTCCCAGTGTATTATTTTACAGTTAAGGGAACTAATATCCAAAGAACTGAAGTCACTCACTCCAAGTCACATAGCTTCTGAATGGCACAGTTTTGTTTCAGGCATTGTATAGATAGAAATGTGATTTTAGATCATTAGTTATGTTTGCTTTTTTATTCATTCATTGCTTTATTTGCTTGTTTATTTACTTATTTATTTTAACTGGATAGAAGATACTTTTTACATGTGATCAAATGCATGTATATATATTTTTACTACTTATTATTGTTATTATTGTTTCCCACTTAACCTACTATGTTTATGATATTCCTGTTGGCCCTTCTCTGACAGATCTTGTGTCATTTTGGCTTGTATTGAGGGAACACTTAGGACTCCATTTTTTTTTTCCACACAGAGAGTGTAGAAGGCAGAGAAAGGACAAATTATTCTAATCCTTCATTCTAGTCGCTTGCTCCTCTGTTTCAACATGAAATGAAGTCAGATTGAATTAAAATGACACTGAGATTTTACTCTTTGGTATTGGGAATATATATGAATGGGGGAAAAGATCAAAAGGCATGCAGTGTGATCTAGTGGAGAGAATTCTGATATCAAATTGTGCCTCTAGATTTTTTTCATGTCTCTTCTTTTTAGTGTTAAAAATGTTTCCATTTTAAAAAAATTGAATAAAATGTCCATTTGAGTGTCACATATAGACATTAAAAGTTGGATGGTAACTCAGACCCTACTGTCTCAAATCCTTATTTTACAGATGAGGAAACTGAATGTAGCTTGGTAACTATGAAACTATAAAAAGTAGTGTAAAGTACATAGAGTACTGCACTCTAATAAAGGAAGCTCTGGTTTCATATTCTGTCTCTGCGAGTAGCTCTATGATCACAGACCAGTCACTTAATTCCTCTGAGCCTCAGTTTCTCCATCTGAAAGATGAGGACCATAATAACTCTTGTAGCTTCTAATTACAGGATTGTTGTGAGGTTTGAGTGAAAATATGTGCATGGACTTCTTTCAGAACACCAAAAGCTCCACATCAATGTCACTTACAAAGGAAGATGTGACTTTCCATGTGGCATTACCTGTATGACGCTGTCCCCCGGGCTCATGTCTGTGTAAACATAGACATTATAGGAGATGGCAGGGAAGGTTGGAGTGTTATCATTCGCATCAATCACCTTGATGTTTACTGTAACGGGGCTGCTTTCTTGGACACCATCAAATGCAGTTATCTATAAAGGAAAAGAAAAAGAATCCTAGACCTTTAATGACAAAGTCCTAATTTGAATTGTCACTGAATGATCACATTCATACAATGTATTTTTTTTCCTAATGATGCAAATGAAAAAAAGAAATCACTTGCTATTAAAAAGGGAATTATTTTCCCCATAAACATACTTTTATATAGTGAAAAGCAATGTGCTCTGAGATCCTAGAAAAGCTCTAGAGGCAGGTCAACCTCATCACTTTTCTGCCTAGGACCACATGCAGTTAGAATGAATGTTAATTTTCAATGTACACACTTGGAATTGGGCAGATAAACATATTCAAATTATATGGGGATAAAATGATATATAATTTATAAGCATTACCAATCTTTACAAATTTGATATATGGATAACCTTCTGACTCATTTTAGAATAATTTCACTCATTCAAATAGAAAGTTGTCTATTGATCAAGACTGAATAATAGCTAATGATGGTTAACAAAATGTGTCATTGTGAGGATCAAATGAAATGAAGTAGGTAAAGCACTTTGAAAACTGCAAAGGGTTATATAAATGTATCTCTCTCTCCCTACCTCTTTCACTGTTACCCTCACCCTTTCCCAGTCTCTCCCTCCCTGAAACCTTTCTCTCTCTCTCTCTCTCTCTCTCTCTCTCTCTCTCTCTCTCTCTCTCTCTCTCTCTCTCTCTCTCTCTCTCTCTCTCCTCTCTCTCTCCTCCTCCTCCTCTTTTCTTATCTCCTTCATTCCCCTCTCTCTCTGTCTCTTAAGAATGGACAGTCATACCTATGATTTCATAATTTGGGGGAATTTCAGGCCAGGTATGGGAATATCCTCCACTGATGTAAATCTACTAACCCCATATAATTGAATCAGAGGGTTAATCAGAGCCTAAAGGTGAAGCTACTTGCTCATGGTCACACAGACAGCATTTGTCTAAAGCAACACTTAAATCTAAGTCTTCCTGACTCCAAGGCTGACCTCCTGACAACTACAACACTTTACCTCTCTAAATTAGGATATTATTAAGATAAACTTAATACATGCAAACTCCAGATGTCTGCAATTATGAATGCAACCTCATGGCTTTATAGTCATAAAGAGATGGAAGTTGAATAAGGCATTCCTTATTGATACATTTTTTTGAGCTACTCCATGAAAATTACTCCCTCATTTCCACCCACAATGCACTGACCTTTTCACTTTTGAAAAATGCCCTGATTCAGTGACATCAGAATTCTCTTTACAGAGGTGGCAGCAGGCTTACCAAGAAGGTGTAGTACTGCTGTTCTTCCCTGTCCACGGGTTGAAGCAAGGTGAGGTAGCGTGTTATACCAGAAGGAGTCACAGTGAAGACCGAGGTGTAATCATTCAGAAAGAGATGGACCTCAGGGTCTTTTGTCTTTAAAAAAAAAAGTATTCATTAAGAGTTTGTTGAACCATTTGTTCATTACTTAGAAACAATCTCAGAGTTTATGAAATGAAATAGACAAAGAGCTTACATAACTTATTACACTAAACAATAAGTGGATTTTTCACCTCAGTAGCTCATAGATGAAGCAAAATTACTCCAAAAATCTGATCCTTTTGAGGGGACAGTACAACATGGAAAACACTCATTTGTGTGATTAATGAATCCATGGAAATGTGAAAGGAAAGAAAGCTTTGTAAAGAAAACGCAACTATTCTAAAGAAAAAGAGCACATTCCTACTGTTTGCCAAGCCATCGGGTAATGTCTAATTTATGCACAAAAATTCCTAAGTACTGTGTGTGAGTAAGAGGAACCAGACCTAGAGTGACTATGGATGACATACTGGTCTTCTCTGGGCTTCATATTGAAAAGATCCCAGCCCATGAGATGAAACGACACAAGATGACATATCAGCACCTCCCTTCCTTTGATAGAAAGGTGGAAAACTTTAGGTGTGTGATGTTTTGGGTTTCTTGGCTTAGCTTAACTGTTTTTGTTGTTGCCATTACAAAGAGAGGGCTCATTAGGTAGTTGGGTTGATGAGTATATTTCTAGAAAAGACTGTGGTATAATATTTTACTGATTTTTTAATATATGGAACATTTGACATGATCTTCAATTTTATTTTTTTTTTTGCTATCTTTCTATTCCATAACTCTAACTTACATATTTCTCACATAGGAATAACCACTGTGGCCTTACACAGGAATTCTTCTTCAAAAGCCAAGGTTTATGACTAGCTCTCTTATACCCTCTGCACCCCTCACACCTACACACTTTTCTTTTCCCTTCTCTCACAATGCCTTAAAGTTCCTCAGATGATTCTTCACTGTCCATAATATTTTGTACCTTTCTGAACCAGTGTGCAAAGTAAAAGATGGAATTTATGTTGACAATACTAGCCAAGAGGTTAGGGACAAGGAAAAGTTGTTTTATTTTGTTTTGTTTTGTTTCTTTTTGAATACCCATGTTCTTCTCTATCCAATCAATGGATTCTCCCCAACCTCAATATTTCTATTATAGATAAGATCACCTCTGCTCATCCTATATTCTTACAACTCTCACCAGCCCTCAATAGTTCAGACATCATCCTTACCTCATCTAAATGCGAGCCATTCACTAGTTTCTGAGAGTCTGGTTTATTTTTTTCTGACATGCAGACAAATCTTATTTGACTTCTCTAAAAACCTTTCCATTAATACTCATATATAGTCTCTCTAAGGCTCCTTACTCCTTAATTAATAAAGGGTTGGGAAATGGGGAGAATTTTTATCATTGTCACTAGCAGTAATAAACTCTTAGCTTCCAGTGGGTTCTAGGTTTCCTTCAGGGACAGCAGATTTGGAGAGGAAATGGTATAGTGTATTGTTCTAGAGAGAGTTAAGGGACAAGTAGCAGAGTTAGGACTCCAATCATGCTCTTCTTCATCACATCAAGCTTCCCTTATACTATCCTACCTTGCCTCTACTAGTTGCCAGTTTCCTGAGAGAATCAGTTGCTCATACAGTAATATCCCTAAGAATTATACTTGTTAATTATCCACATTCTAATTCTACAAAATGTCTCCAGAAAGGAGTCAGTCACGGAAGATCTATTTTAATTAGAGTTTAAGCTCATTAAGTTGAAAACACACAAATTTACCTGAACTACCTGAAAGAAAAGCTGTAATAATGATAAATAGTCAGAGACAGAGTATGGTAAAAAGGCCATTTATCCTCGAGAATCTACTAGATCTTTAACATACATCCTTTAAAAAATAAGATGTTCACATAAAACGATTCAATGAATGAAACCATTATATTAGCAAACTGTAAGGCAGCAGGGAATACATACATACCTACATACATATATATATATATATATATATATATATATATATATATATATATATATATATATATATATATATATAGTGTGTGTGTGTGTGTGTGTGTATACACATACATAAATTTAATTGTGGTAAGAAGACATGAGGATGATATTTGGGATATGGAAAAGGAAGGGATGATGTGATTTGGGAAAGGATGATGAGGTGAGGAAATTATTGATAGGAAGAGAAGAGACATGGGATTAATGTGGTTTTCAGTAAGTGAAAATCATTCTCTCAGAAAGAGCAAGTAACCCACAAGATTTATGTCCTTGACAAGTAACTCATTTGTTCAGGATAGAGGGCTCCATATAACCAGTTAGGTTATATACAGAACTATTTTGAGCACTCCCCCTCCCACCCCTGTGCATGGATGTGCTCTTAATTTATAACTTAACCCCCAAAACCAATAGCACAAGTTTTAAAAGATTTTTTAAAAACTTATAAATTCTCTAAGCATCCAAATATGGCACCTCCTTTAGTGTTACTATCAAGAAGAATGTTGTTAAATATGACATAGTCTTGATATACGGTGTGTGTATGGGAGGGCGTGTGTCTGTGTGCTGAGGCTAAACAGAGAGCAGCCATGAAATACAGCCATGATGAGCTGTTAATGCCCTAATTTAAAGGTTTTCCATTTAAGAAAATAAAATTAAATACATGTAAAGCCCTAATTTAGTCCACAATGTGCTCAAAACTGGGGAACCGCAACAGAAAAAAATTACAATTTTTGCCTAGATTTACCTCTCTATATGTACTTTAAAGGCCTTTCCTTTTTTTTTTCTTTTTTCAAGTGACTTTGATGCTGTCTATTTATACTTATTATCAGATTCTGTGTTAATAACTTACATTGTTGAAGGCTGGTTGGAATTCAACCTCCTACATTTCTGAAAGCTCAATAGCCTGAGACAAATGAACAATTAGTAACTCCTCAAGATATTATCTGGTAGAAAGCCACTTGTATTTGAATGGTGTAGCCCACCATAGTCCTTTTTTGATTTTGAGTAGTGCACTTTGAACAAAGTTATATAACAGTGGTAATCAATTATTTTGGCTACTATGTGGTTGCATATATAAAATGTTTGTTTCTTTTTTTTTCTTATTCTGCAAACTCCAAAGAGCACATGATATGACTTATCTAATGTGGTCATTCCACCTAATATTGTGCATAAGGGATGAGGAGAGGAGGTACTTAATAATTGTTTATTGAATGAACACATGAATCAATTGATGAATTAATCAATCTACATTTTTTGGTACCTACAATGTATAAGTACAGACACTGTGATAAGCTCAGGGAATTTTTGAAAGGCACGAATTGAAATTGTCCCCCCCACAAAGATCTTGTATTCTATAGAAGGAGAATACATGACTACGTATGTATGTATGCATGTATGTATGTATGTATCTATCTATCTATCCAAATAGCATATGTGTGTGATATTTTCAAATTTTCAACATATTTCATTGATATATACATATATATGTTTGTATGTTTTATATAATTTTGTAAATCTTAATGATTCATATGGACATCCTAGATCATACAATACCTAAGGGTAATCTTTACTTAAATCAGTTAAATATTCCAATAAACTAGATAATAGAGAATTTTCAGTTAAAAAAAACCAGCTAGTGCCTCCCGATCTAGATTTCTTCTCTTGCTTTCTTTTATAAAGACTTGATCCTGATGCATTTCAGGATTCTCATTGCATCCTCAATTTAAGAAGAGTTTTGCTCCAAAGGAAAGCCTTTCATCATAGTCACTATAGAAATCTAGCTCCCAGGACTGCTATTTATTTATGACTAACAGCAATGACGTTACTCCTTTTCTATTTCTTTACTCAAATCCACAGACCCAGGAGGACTGCAAGTAGACAAGATCTAATTTCTCTCTTTCTAATACTTAACTTTTTTCTTTCTTCTCTAATTTTCATATCCTATCTTTCAATGTCTTTCTTTCACTATGCTCTAATTCCTTCCAGATGTTTGGTCCTTCACAATCTGATTTCAGCCTTACCTTTCCAGTCTCTTAATTACTATTGCCTTTTGTAGATAGCTACGGTTCAGCAAAACTGGCTGCCAGATCCAAATATGCCACCATTCTTCATACCAGAAGCTAGACTCTGTCCTTGGTATCAACTTGGGTTGTGAAAGTTGACCTATGATCTTGTCTTGCTTGGAGCCAAGCCTTCACCTCACTTTCTAGCCACCAGCTCCAAATCACTCTCATTTAGGTGAAACCCTTCTCCTTTCCCAACTCTTTTCTGAGTATCATCTTACTTTTTGTAATATAACCTCCTATAGGTCAGTGACTCCCTGGCATTCTTATATTTCTACAGTGCCTGGTTTACAGTAAGCAATTAATAAATTGTCTATCTGTCTATCCATCATCTCTCTATATGACTATCTAATCTATCTAACATCTATTCAGCCATCCATTAATCTATCAAGCTATGTATCTATCTTATTCCTAGAATTCAACACTTCATCTATCATCTCAGGTCCTTCCCTTAGGCTATCCTTCATGTGTGGCATGCATTCATTCCTTGCCTCTGCCTGTTAGAATTTCCTGCTTCCTTTATACCTCAGATGAAGAAATCAAAGCTATCTATAGTCACATGGAAAAAATGATCGCAATCACTTTTGATTAGGGAAATGCAAATTAAAACAGTTCTGAAGTACCACCTCACCTGCATCATCTTGGCTAATATGACAGAGAATGAAAATGATAAATGTTGTAGGGGATGTGTGAAAAATTGGGATACTAGCACACCATTGATGGAACTCTGAACTGATTGAACCATTCTGGTGAACATTTTGGAACTATGCTCAAAGGGCTATAAAACTGCATACCCTGTGATCCAGCAATACCACTACTAGGTTACAATAACAAAAAGATAAAAAAAGAGAAAAATACCTATTTGTACAAAAATATTTACAGCAGCTTTTTTGTGGTGGCGTAGAATGGAAACTGAAGTGATGTCAATCAATTAGCGAATTGCTGATCAAGTTGCGGTATATGATTGTCATGTAATACTATTGTGCTGTAAGAAATCATTTCATAAAAACCTAGAAAGACTCATATGAACCAATGCAAAGTGAGGAGAGCAGAACCAGGAGAACATTGTACATAGTAACAGCAATATTGTTTGATGATCAACCCTGAATGGCAGCTATTCTCAGTAACATAATGATCCAAGACCATTTCAAAGGACTCATGATAAAAAATGCTATCCACACCTAGCGAAATGACTTCTGATGTAGGAATGCTGATTGAGGCATGCTGTTATTCACTTTATTCTTGTTTTGATCTGTGTTTTCTTTCACAATATGACTAATATGCAAATATTTTTTGCGTTACTACACATGCTTTCTCAATGAAGGATGAGAGGAAGGAGGGAGAGAAAGAATTAGAAACACAAAACAGAAAGAGAATGTTAAAATTGTTTTCCAATATAATTGAGAAAAATAAGATATTATTCAAAAACTATTTTATTTTAATCTCAGTTCATAGAATCATCCACATACTAATACTTCTTCCAAGAGAATACTTTGTATTTATTTTGCAAGTATTTGTATGACTCTGTATTATCTACTTAGAACAATGCCTTTTACAGGGAAGACACTTAATTTATGCTTATTCATTGATTGATTGCTATGCATAGATATGAAGAGTATGGTGAAGAGGATGTCACTTTTGATTCATTAAGGAGTGTTCACCTTTCATATAGAGCACTTCCATCCTCACTGCTAGCAATATACCTTCCACTCACCAAACATAGTAAGACTTTATACTATGATTCTCTTTTTTTTCCAATTGTGAATCTTATGAAAAAAATATATTATATAGTCCAGAATACTGAATTGTCTTGACCAGCTAATTTCTTATTTGAACATTTTTTTCTTGCAGAGAATATGTTTTCTAAGCATGCAACAGCTTCACATGAAACTATCATATATTGATATGTTAACTGAATATACTGAGATTTGAAAACGCACACACAGACATAGAAGTATTTTAAGTCAAGTATTAATCAAGATACAGTCAATAAATATTTTAAAGCACCTACTAAATGCCACTTCTATTCAAAAAACATTTTCAGCATAAATAGTTTAGAAATGCTTAAGTCAAATGTCTGAGACTAATTTATAGGGTAAGTTGTGGTTTTCCTTCATATTACTAATGAATGACAAATTTAAGTGAATTACATAAATCTCAATGCCAGTGATAACTAACTTTTCTTTGTATCAGCTACAATTTGAAAGTTTACTCTAATTGAGAAGGAAAACAAATCAATGCATATGTATTGTCAGCTAGAGAACAACAAATCTAAATTAATATCATAGCAAAGCAAAATTATTCATAAATAACCTAGTTATCTTTCTCTTCATATTTCCATCCCCCAAAGTTATCTTTCCTTTTCTTGTGCAATATTTTTATTAGATTTCATTAATAAATTCCACTGTGTTTGGATCACCAGGTCCTTATCAGATGCCAAGTTGGGCCAGCTCTTAGACACAGTCCTCAAGACCACATAAAAGTTTATTCCAACTGCATATTAACTCACTGAATTGAAGTGTAGTCAAGGCAATTTACAAATTCTCTAATTCTTCCCCCCCCCCCACTACTTGACCTTAGCTCATGTTTGGTCTTTAACCTAACAAATTGAGTAAGCAGATGTCACAGTTTCCACTCTGCCTGGGAGACAAAGGGCTTGAATGTTGTCTCATTAATTTTAATGCTATTTATGCTGAAATTAATTTGCATTCTGGCTCACACAGAGAGAAACAGAGCTACACAAATTTAGCAAATGCATGCAGTATAAGAAAAGAAACAGGACATTCTAGAAAACTTCCACTAAGCTAAGCACACGTATTTAGAACTGGAAGAGCCTGAAGGAGTTTTGAACTAAATTCTGGTCTCCTAATTGTAAAGTCAAATTCTACATTGTTTGGGAGCACACGAACACTGTTGCAGATGTTTAGGTAGCAATGGGTTGGGATCTTAATTGTTGGAGGGAATTCCCCAACTGATGTAATCACAGATCATTTGGAGGGTTGCCGTATAAATTGTTTAAATTCTTGTATTGTCATGTGTTATTTCTCATAGCTACAAAACACAGAAACGTATAGATGCAAATGGGTATCACAAACATGCAAAACATGTTCCATTATCCTAGAGTCGGTCAAATATTTCAAAATATTTAGTTAATTGAGAAAGTTATCTCAGAAACTCTGGGATAGTATTAGGCAACACTAAATGTAAAATGCAATTTAAATATTTGTAGTTTTAAAAGAACTTTATATCTAGTAGCTGTTGGGGGGTGGTAATCTGACCTTTTCCAAGGAAAATGAAAAAATAGAAGAAACCACGTCAGTGAGCACGCCAACCCTCCTCCCCCAACACTGATGAAACTTGCAAACCACAAAATCACACCCTTATCATTAAGTACTACCTACAGGAATGCCACCTGGTAGAACCTGAGAGCAAATCAGACACGACACAAATATCAACAAAATATACCCTTAGATACTCTACCAACACATATTAATTTTATCCCTACTGGGTGTTAGATTCCTGTAATAATTCTTGCAATTTAAGCTCTGGTAGCAATAGTGATTAAATAATAAGGGAAATCCTGGAGGAAAGAACTCTTTTCACTAGTATAGGTCAGCACCTTCTCTTAATCTTATAATCTTAGAGAGTTTCCTAGAGCCCTGAGAGGAAAAGTACTATACCCAAGGCTATATAGACAGTACGTGTAAGAACTTGAACTCAGAACTTCCTGGCTTGAAGCTAATTCTCTCACCACTCACACTGTCTCTTGTATGCTCCTAAGGAGGTTGAAAACAGCAGGCATTTAAAACATTTTAAGCATTTTCTGTCAAATGTATGATAATAGTTTTATTCTAGAGGATAGAATATTGGTGCCCACACCTTTTGAGAAGCTTACTAGCCTGTGATCATGGGCATTCCAATGTTCTACTCTGTGTCTCAGTTTCTTTATAAGAGGAGGATATTAATATCTGGAAGGCAACTAGTGGAGTCATGGTGTACAGAATGCCAGACCTGGGGTCAGGAAGACTCATCTTGCTGAGTTTAAGTCTGACCTCAGATACTTACTACCTGTGTAACCCTGGGAAAGTCACCTAATTTTTTTGCCTCAGTTTTCTCATCTGTAAAATGAGGTAGAGAAGGAAATGGCAAATCACTACAGTGTCTTTCCAAAAACAAAAGAAAATGGGGTCAGCAAGAGTAAGACACAGTTGAAAAACAATGCAACAAGAGTAATAAAATGCAACCTACAACAAACCATCACTGGTGCTACTCAGCACCACCATTTGTTCACTTTATAAAGAGCAATGGAAACCAGAAACAGCCATCTTAGCTATTAATGCCATCAAATTATCATGGCTCCACTTAACAGATGGTCAAATACCATCAGATATTGGTAGAGCCTGGTATGTTGCTCTGAATCTAGAATCCTACTAAAGCAGATCAAAAACTGTCTAAAACTACATAGGTAAGTCTTAGGGAGAAGATGAAGCTCACAGATCTTCTCTGCCTTGGGGAGGCAGTTTGGTAGAGCGGAGAGCACAAGACTGAGAACCAGAGGGCCTAGATTTGAATCCTGGCTCTACCATTTAATATCTGTATAACCTTGGGCAAGTCAGTGTGCCAGAAGCCCCTCATTCACAAAATAAAAACTCTTAAAAGCTCTTCAAATTCTCAATCTACAATTCTGTAATTTAGCCATGGTAACAGAGTAATCAAGCCTCTGAGGCAGGATTTGAAACTAGTTCTTTCTGACTCTACATCCATTACCCTCTACATCAGGCCACCATGACAAAAATATTAGATGAGTTTCCTGCACATACTTCATTTACATTGATTAATAGTGTCTATATCCTTCCGTAAAACTTAAAAACATTATTGCTACCAACTTTAAAATCATAAATTCATCCATTAGTTTGACTATACATTTAAACAAAATTAAAAAAAAAACAAAAATAAAAACAACACAACTCACGTCCTCTACATCCTTGTCCAAGACAACGATTCTGAGAGGGGTGGTCAAGTTGAGACTGTCTGAGATGGTTGCACCAACAGGGGCAGACTCCAGGATATAACCTTGATAACTCGGCATTGTGAAGTAAGGGCTCTGGTTGTTTTCATCCAAGATTTCAATATGAAGGCTGGCAAATGCAGGGAGAGGATGACCATTGTCTTGTTCTGCCTGGCAAACAGAAAAGAGAGAAGCAGATATAGTATTATATACCTTGGGTGTGGGCGGAGGGAACTCCCAATTTGGTGCATGGAAAGTTTTCTTTTTTTTTAATGATATCTTTGAAACTTGAATCATAGATATTTAGAGTTAAAAGGGACTTCAGAGATCACCTTATCAATTCTCTCATTTCCCAAATTAGAAACTTGAAGCCCGAAGAAGTTGAATGATTTATGCAGTGTCACACAGAAACTTACGACAGGGATGGAACTAGGTATTAGACTTCCAGGTTCCCAAACGAGCCCCTTTACATTTGATTGTCATGGCCAAATATTCTTTAAAGATATTCTGGATCATTAGAAAAGAACAGGCAGGGTACTATATTGGACACACTGTGTAGCCTGTAGTTAGGGTTTAATTCTGAAGTCCAAAACTTGACTAGCTGTCAAGCTCCTACTAAATGCAAAGAACAGGATTTATTACAGGAGAGAAAATAAAAATAAAGACAATTTACTCCCTGTACTTTACCACATAGTAGGCAAATGTTCAGTCATTTAAGTCATGTCTGACTCTTTAGGATCCCATTTGTGGTTTTCTTGGCAAAAATACTGGTGTGGTTTACCATTTCCTTCTGCAGCTAATTTTACACATGAGGAAACTGAGGCAAACATGTTTAAGTGACTTGCCCAGGGTGACACAGTTAAGATGTATCTGATGACAGATTTGAACTCAGGTCCTCTTGACTCCAGGGCTGGTGCTCTATCCACTGTACCACCTTGTATGCAAATTATTATAATGCTATTTTTTCTGATTATTTCTAAATTTGGAATAAAAATAAAATGCCATAACTAGGGATCATTACTAATCATCCTTCTGGAAAATGACTTAGCCACCAAAATCTTGCTTATCCTCCCCTCCCTTTTAACCTTCTCCCCAAATCCTTACATCTAGTTGAACTAAAACATGTATATGTATTTTATCTTTTTCTCATCAGTATGCATAGTGTTATTTTCCATGTGGTTAACTCCTCCCATTGAATGCTTCTGAATCTGAAAAATAAACAAATGTAATCCTTTTTATTTGCCTTATTATCTCCCATGATGACCAAAGTAGAAATAACTGGAAAAATACTAACGATTTTGAAGTTTCAATACACCCCCAGGTGCCACTTTAAAAAAAAAAAAGCTAGAGAGAAAGCTTGATTTTGGATTTCTTTGAGCCCATGCCCCTGCCCCTGCCCCTGCCCCTGCCACCATCAGGATGAGAGAATAGTCTGGTATCATGCAATTTGGGCAACTATTTCCAGCACGATTGTAATGTTTACTTAAGACAAACTAGAGATAATTTATTTTAATAAATAATTATTGAGTCTTTCTCTGTTAGCTTTATTTTTTGTGCATGTCTTGTTGCTCAAGAAAGACCCATTCAAATATAAAAATAGTGTTTAAAAAACAATCATGCATAAAGTACGAGCTGATCCAGATGCACAATGGAAAATGTTGAGAAAGGCAAGAAGATTTTCATTCAGAAGTGTGTGCACACATGTGTTGTTATGTTATGTGTCATGTTGAAAAGGGAGGCAAACACAAGGCTGGACCTAATCTAGCAGATTCTGGCTGAAAGACTGGTCAGGCTCCAGAATTGTCTTACACAAATGTCAACAGAAACACAGAAGCAAAGATAATCATTTGGGGAGAGAAAACATTGATGGAGTCCTTAGAAAACCCCCCAAAATATATCTCTGAACAATACACATATGTGTATGCATATGTATATATGTATACACCATATATAGCATAAACATATTTGTATATATATGTATACATACATGTACATATTATGTATATGTGTATGTATGTGTAAATATATATGATATATATGATCTTTGCAGGAATTAAGAAGGTAGAAAGGGCAGGTTTGAGTACAAGTTGCCTGCTACCTTATTCATCACAAAAAGTAAATGTCTCATGAGGAGATTCTCTTCATTTCTCTTTTTTTACATGTACCATAGCCACCCTGTTTAAACTGATTAGCTCAATCAGATAATTTTGATCATGAACGGCTATTTAAAATTTTGTTCAGCTGTCCTAATAAATGAATTATGTAGATTAGGAAGGCTTGTCTTTAAGTGTTTATGGTTATGTTTTCTGTGCTTTGGTCATAATTCAATCCATAATGAAATTATCACACTTTTCTATTTCTTTTTTTGTAAACAATTTTTACTGAAGATTTTCATCATCTTTGAAAACAAAACTCTGTTGTCCAGCGACTGTCAGTGGGGTTTCCCCTCCGTTTATCACAAAAGCTCAGTCCTTTCTTCTTTTCATCTAGATTTTCCTTTTCCTATTTGTACACAATTTCAAATCAGGCTAGCCTTGTAATTTGTATGGCCTTTTCTTCTGCTCATGAGATTCCAATGTTGTTGTCAATTAGAAACACTAATTGCTTTTACCTATAGTAAGATTAGTTTGCAGTGTGGCTCTGAGGCCAGAATTATAACCCAGCTATTTAAGAATTTGTTTGTATAGAGTATGCATGATTTGATTAGATATTGCCTTTAAATTTCATTTCAGTGTGCTTTATTATCTAAAAATCTTAAGTAAAGAATGTTATATCACACACTGTGAGTGATCTTTGAATGTCAAATGCTTGTGTATCCTGGGTTGTGAAGGTGCACAGATGAGTTCAGCTAGAGATAGAGACTTCAATTGTCATTAAATTCCCATTTGAAAGTAAATTGTACCTTAAGATTGATTTTTAATATCTATTGAATTTAAACTTTGCACACATATTCTATATGTGTGAATAGTATTGTTATTATTAACTCATTTGAAGTGTTTTGCTTCCAACATATGCTATTAATACATCTGGTAAATGATTCAATCATAAGGCTTGATTCAACAATGAAAAACTCATAAATGTTAAAACACGCATGAGTGTTTAATACTACAGAATCCCAAACCATTGCATTTCTTCCATGTTTCCTTTTGCTAAATCCAGCATTTAAAAAATGCTGATATCTCTAATTGCTTACATCAATAAAATAGAGAAAAGCAGATCAATGAATTGGGCAGGCAACTAAAAAAGGAGAGATTAATAAAATTGAAATTAATAAAACTATTAAACTAATAAATAAAACTAGAAACTGGCTTTATGAAAAAAATAAAATACTGGTTAGTTTGATTTACAAAAAAAAGGAAAGAAGAAAACCAAATTATTAGTATAAAAAATGAAAGGGGTAAATTTACCGCTCATGAAGAAGAAATTTGGGGCAGCTATGTGGCACAGTGGATAGAACACCGGCCTTGAAGTCAGGAGGACCCTGAGTTCAAATTCGGCCTCAGACCAAACACCCGACACTTACTAGCTGTGTGACCCCAGACAAGTCACTTAACCCCAATTGCCTAAAATTTTTTTTAAAAATTGAAAAAAAGAAGAAATGAAAGCAATAGTTAGGAAGTATTGGGCACAATTATATGCCAATAAATTTGACAATCTAAATTAAATGGATGAATATCTATAAAAATATAAATTATCCAGATTAACAGAAGAAATAAAATATTTAAATAATCTAGTCTTAGAAAAAATAAAAAGTAATTGACAAGTGGTCAATGAACTTCTTAAAGAAAAAAAAATCCCAGGACCAGATGGATTCACAAACAAATTCTATCAAACATTTAAAGAACAATTAATCCCAATACTATATAAATAACTTGGAAAAATAGGTGAAGAAGGATTCCTACTAAATTCTTTTTACAACACAAATATGTTACTAATTCCAAAAACAGGAAGAACCAAAACACAGAAAGGAAATTATACACCAATTTCCCTAATGAAGATTGATGCAAAAATTTTAAATAAAACAGTAGCAAAGAGATTATAACACTATATCACAAGAATTATACACTATGACCAGGTGGGATTTATACCAGGAGTGTAGGACTGGTTCAATATTAGCAAAAAACATAAGCATAATTGACCATATCAATGATAAAACCAACAGAAATAATATGATTATCTCAATAGATGTAGAAAAAGCCTTTGACAAAATACAGCATCCATTCCTATTGAAAACACTATAGAGCATAGGAGTAAATAGGATTTACCTTAAAATAAGTAATATTTATCTAAAACCATCAGAGGGCATTATTTGTAATGGGAATAAGCTCTAAGTCTTCCCAATACAATCAAGGGTGAAGCAAGGATGCCATTATCACCTCTATTAGTTAATATTGCACTAGAAATGCTAGCTATAGAATGAGAAGAAAAATAAATTGAAGGAATTAGAATAAACAATGAGAAAACAAAATTATCACTCTTTGTAGATGATATGATCTTATGCTTTGAAATTCCATGGAAAATCAATTAAAATTACTTGAAATTATTAACAGGATATAAAATAAACCCACATAAATCATCAGCATTTCTGTAGTGTTATCAACAAAGTCCAGCAGCAAGAGACAGAAAAAGAAATTTCATTTAAAATAACTCTAGACAATATAAAATACTTGGGAGTCTACTTGCCAAGACAAACCCAAGAACTATATACACACAGCTATAAAACGCTTTTCACATAAACAAAGCATGTCTAAACAATTGGAAAATATTAATTGCTCATGGGTAGGCTGAGCCAATATAATAAAAATGACAATTCTAATAATTAATCTATTTATTTATTTATTTATTATTTATTGTTATACCAATCAAACTATAAAAAATGTTTTATGTAGCTAGAAAAAAAATAACAAAATTCATCTGCAAAAACAAAAGCTGAAGGATATCAAAAGCATCAATAAAATAAAAAGTGAAAGACGGTGGTCTAGCGAAGCAGATGCCAAACTATATTCTAAAGTGGTAATTATTAAAACAATCAATTATTGGCTAAGAAATAGAGTGATGAATCAGTGCAATAGATTAGGCACAAATTACTTTATGATAAGCGAGTATAGTAATCTAGTATATGATAAATCCCAAAGATCCAAGCGTTTGAACAAAAACTCATTATTTGACAA